CCCAGTCTTAAAAACCTCCAGTGTTGGAGCACTCACAACTTCTGAAGGCATGCAGTTCCCACTGCTAGGAAGTATCATCTTAATTCCAGGTTGCTTCTCTTCCTTGATTAGTTTCCATCCATTGTTTCTTGTCCTGGCCTCTGGTGCTTTGGAAAATAAATTGACCCCCTCCTCTTTGTGGCAGCCTCTCAAATACTGGAATACTGCTATCAAGTCCCCTCTATTCTTCTTTTCTCTAGATTAATCTTTCATACCACTAGTTTTGATTTCCCAGCCTCTACAGTTTAATAAAAGCCATCTGTCTACACTTATTAACTCAGAACCACTGAGAAAAGGAGAAAGCTTCAGTCCTCATCCCAACCCACCCTGCCAGCTGCCCTAGTTCTTGCAACAAAGGAAAAAGGCAGTCTTCTTTCTCTGCAGAAAGGAAAGCAAAACAAAAACAAAAAAACCCTAGGCCTCTCAGACAAGAGAACGGGCAAAGCATCTGACCCTGCCTTTGTTCTTCTGAGAGAGAAGAAAAGAACTGGACTTGCTAGACCGGTTGAAACTTCAGAAGAACAGGGAAGAGGGGGGCTCCGCTGCCTCTTGATGGCATTTGCCAGCCCTCTTCTCTGCTATCCAAAGAGCTTCAAAGTTGGGCGTTAGCAGGTTCTCCTGCAGCAACGGAAGAAGCCATTGGCCCTGGAACGCCTTCAGCGCAGGTGGGCCAAGGCCTCTGAATGCTGGCAGCTACAGCAGCTGGCGCTAATGGGAGCTTCCCCTTCTGAAGACTGCCTAGCCTGAGGCGGAGCTGAGCAAATAGCAGCTGTGACATGCATATTCACCCTGAACTTAGCCCAGTTTGGCATGCGCTGAAGGTTCCTCAGGACTGAGCCAATGATGTTGCGTGCAGTGATTACGAAATCTGCTGGCCTTTTTAAGGCAAGGAATCAGGTCCCCTCCAGCACAGCTTGCTTCTTTTATCTCTCATTATTTTAAGCTGGAGGTGCCCAAGTGGCTGGGGAAGAAGAGGCAAACCAACCAGTCTAGATGGGCCAGGGAAAGATCTGTAACCAGACACTTCCCATTCCTGCTGTCATTCTCTAATGGGAGGAGGGGATGTTTTACCTTGTTGGCTGATGAACTACAAGAAAGTGATGGCCGCAGAGCCAGGGGAGAAAGCTCACCTGTTGGCCCACTCACACCCTCCATCTCTTCTGATCCAGAACAGCCTGCAACCCTGGAAAACTGAGGTTCACAATAGGATGGCTAATTTCATGACAGCAGTGGGTAGACAGGCCTTGGATTCTATAATGGGAAAACTGAGGAGGTAATACACAATTTTTTCACAGGGATTGAGAAATCTGAAATCTTTCCCCAAGACCATAAATGTGCGCGCATACACACACACTTTTGAGGGAGTGCATGTCAGAAAGCTGTTTGGGACACAGCATCTACTTCTGATGCTGGGACATATCTACCATGGTAAATTAGATGCATAGTTGAATATGATTTATAGAGTTTACCAGCCCTTTAAGATTTAATACAGTAGAAAGTATCTTCCCCTCCTCCCAACCCCAAACAATTATTTCTTCTAATTGAAGATTCAATTCTAATTCAATTCTAAACATATACATAAAAATCATTTTTTGTCTTTCTTTCTTTCTTTCTTTCTTTCTTTCTTTCTTTCTTTCTTTCTTTCT